ATATTTGTCTTCGCACGGTATCAGCTCGTGTTTCGTTACGCGCCTCACTTTTTTTTTTTATTTATCCCTTATATTTAAGATGCCAAAGAGATCATCTGGGATTTAACACTAAAAGAGCATTCGTAATTTTTGTAAGTGTAGTTTAATGAGGATGTTATTGACGTCATTACGCTTAATGAATAGGTTGCTTAATGAGCAACAAATAGATCTACCTTGAACTGCGCGTTTTTATACTTAAGCTACCTCAATGTAGTCCAATTTTTTTCCGTAAATACTTCGCTAGTTGAAAACATATCTTTCCATATCTGCCGCCTACCATCGTTGTGACTGTCTAGTAGTCCGTAAAAATGGGTTTCCTTTTGGGTTACTGTCATTTTAACCCAATGTGATACGCTGAACACGGAAACTTTTGTTTGGTCCTTTTTTGAATTTAAGGTGTGTAAGAAATTGAGTGCGCAAAGAGCTGACTCGATTAACGTGATTGAAAATATACGTTGTTTGAAAAATTATAGGTTTATACAGGAAGATTTTTTTAGCACTTTCTGTATGTAAATTTTTGTCTGAAACTACCCGATATGACGATTTGAGAAAAATTACCTCATTATAATGTCTTCAAAGCCCAACGGAGAAAAAGCCCATTTCAAGCTACAGCATTCGCAGAGAACTATATAGTTGTAATAGTTATATCGATACTTCTACCTACTGCCGCAGATTTTGTGACACATACTACTCTGCAGCTCTAGCGGAAAAAAAGAAAATTATTTAAAATCAAAAATGATTCTCAAAGCATAACTATGAATATTAGAGTCCTCGGTTGTACATCACTTATTACGTAAAACGTCAATAACTGAAGAGAGGTTCCATGGATCTATGATAAACATGGAAAATTACATAGACGAGAAACATACAGTCTAGCTGAAACAATATGCTGAAACAATAACGTGTCCTTTTTCTTCAATTTGATTTCATGTTTTCTTGTAAAAGAAAATCCAAAGAGGTAATCGACGGAAGCGTAGAGACATCGTTACACTATATTGTGCTGTCGCTCTCGATTTAGATATGCTGGACTGAACAACTTTGAAGATAACCACCTTTGTTTCTATTATTTTTAAGCCTTAATACGTGTAAGTTCCGTCACTCAAACTTAAACGAAGCAATATTATGAAAAGTTGTTACGTTATAGGCCTAGGCTATATCGATAACTATTCCCGCAACTGCGTCTCCATTATTCGCTTCGCATCAGATCAACTTCCTTTTCCGTGTAAGTGAATTGGCTACGTTTAAAACATAGACTTCAATTAATTCTGTGCTGCGGTTCGGAAAGCGAAAAACTTGAACAAAGGACTGGAGAGAACATATAGAGAAATTCTCTAAGTAACCCGTTAGGGACGCAAACAACAAAACGTAATAATAGCCTAAATAACGATACGGGACAGCGTCGAACTTAGACCATCGTCTTCTGGTCCTATTGATATGATTTGCAAAATCAATCAAATTCAACGGTACCGCAAATGGTTTTGTTTGCAAATGCTCAATTGGAATATTTGGCCCTGAAGCAATTAGCCAAACTTGGTAAAATGTTCCGCCAGCGGATTGGTAATGTTTCGTTCTTTAGACCGATATTCTCTGTGCCAACTTATGAAGTTAGCGATACTTAGCTTGCTTAGCTTACGTTTCGTAACTCAGCTTAATCAACCCACCTGGCACACTTTTCAAATTCTTTCGAAACGATTCGCGTCCTAGGCATATGAGCTACATGGTTAAAGCGCGATGAACGTAAACGGTAAAGCCAAGAGCAGAATTTGACGCAGAAAAAGCAAACATCATCTAACTGCAGCATCAGAACTATATGACCGAGATAAAAATAAGTATATGAAGAGAGAAGAAGAATGCTTAGAAAGCTCGTCTTATTATTAATTTTAAAGCTGGTTAGTGACTCTTTCCTACAACATCGAAATAGTTTAAATTGTCACAAAGTGCAATCAGCTCTGCAGAACGATACGTACTATCGCACCTGTGCTTATTTGCTAGGATGTGAAAGGCGTTGAACTCATAACTATGAAAAGCGGTTCGGTCCCCAGCTGATTGATAACTCAGTTATTGTTCAGCATTATTTGGATTATTGTTACCAGCTCAGCGCGCAGGATTTTTAGACCAGGCTGATGATATCATATCATCTCCTTATCCACCGAGATATTTTGGGCCATAAAAACCTTAAACAATACTGCCTGTGTATTAACCGGAACATTACAAATTATTAAGGGATAGTATATCGCATGATGAATAATGTTTACTTAAAATGTACACATATGAAACTTGGCTATAGAATTTCGACTTTATCTATTTATTTTGTACTCAGAGTCCTATCATAACGGCCGAAACGGCCGGAAGCCATTTCAATGGCTGTTCAGGTTCACTGCTATACTGAAACTAGGACACGGAATTTAATTATTTTAGTAAATCTAGTTTTTTATACTCTCTCGTGAGTGTTTTCTCTCTAGTATTCGCCTGAACTTGGAACCATACAGTATTTGATAGGGCAAAAATTTAGTGAGCTTAAGTACTCCGAGCTTAAATTATTGATTCCAATATTACAGGCTTCTGTACGTTTTGCAGTGTACCGATCTCATAACATGTACAACTAGTCTCACGCGTTGCAACACAGCAAGAGAGAATCTTTTATGCTAACAACGGGAGTGTTAGGGGTTCGTAAAGGGGTTTATATCGGTCGTATCCCTAATATAAAGCATTACAAATCAATTTCCAATGAGCACATACCTAGGTATACACTGCCGTTGAATTTTAGCCTGGCCAATTCTGGAGCTCATATTACGTGTATATTGAACATTGAAAATCCATTTTCAAGATATATTCAACCCCACGGTCTGTGGAGATACAATCCGCATGTGAATAGAAAAACGACTTCAAGAAAATATGCGTGAGACATGTCAAGGTCATTATTCCCAAGCCGGATTCGGCCACGATATTTAAAAAGGAACAAATGTTGAGGTACACGCTGTATTTCGGGTTCGTCCAATCAGTTATTGAACTACAGGGTTCTTACCAAGTTCTATACACAAGAATATTTCTAACTAAATCAGTTTTGCCTTCACGCTTGCGAAATCAGCTAAACAGGCACCAGGCTTTCATTAACTAAAAGCTGGAAGCCTAATAAATGGGATTCGTATTTGTTTGAGAATAATACTCACTTGTTTTTCAAATTTAGCGTATGCTGCTTTGTACGTTGTTTTCTCCCTAATACTTAAACAAGGCTCAGGTCAAATAGAACACCAGTTAACGCAAAAACTCTGCGGAAAGGTGCCAGCGACAGAGCAACATCTCCGACAGATAAGTCGCGGCCAATGCATAATTTCTGAAGATATGAGACATTCGAAGACGCATTAGTTAAGAAAAATTGCCATCAAAAGCCATCTAGCACAATACGATTGAATAATAACAACTTAACGAACACAAAGACAATTGCATAATAACATACATTAACTAAAAACGAAGTGCAAATGTACCACACTCGTGAAACCACATAGTTATTGTTTACAATTTCATTCCGAGCAATGATTTTAGTAACTATGGTACATTGGCAACACTAGCTCTGAACCTAACATAATGATTTATAAGATTAATTTTATGTAGTTAGGTGAGAGTATGACATGGAGGGCAGATTAATTTTGTGGAGCCCGTCCTCCTCCTCCCGTGAAGGTTTTGAAAATTATTATTAATAATTTTGCACACCTTCAGCGATCGGCTTGCTTCATCATATGAGATTCCCTCACCCGTAGTATCAACGTCTGGATAAAGCAATGGCTTTACACAACCTAATATATACGGGGCTACTGATTATCACAAAACGTCAAAAAATTTAAGTTTACAATTACCACGTAACATGATTTGACTAGTTGATATGTATTGATTACGTTAGATACCAACGCACTATTAATTCTGTAGTCGAGATCGAGCTCTACTGAGCTATTTTAAAAATACAGCCGGCTATCTGGGACTAACTATTATGACAAGTTCTTGTTCAAATGGGACTCAAGGGTTCAGTAAAAGGAAACAGCTGTAAAATATATGTGGAATATCGTACGGCAAAATTTGTTCTTGCTCATTGTAATAACTTATAACAGCAGGCTAAATGTTTGAGCTACATATATGTATTGCAAAAGTTACTAATGTTAGCTAGTGATTGTTAGGGGGTCGACAAACAGTGTAATAAGGCAGAATAGTCCACTAAGGTAGAAAATTGGGGCAAGTCGCATCCCAATAATTGAAAATTGGCCTTTGATAAGATCGAACGAACGTTCCGGAAATCAGACTTCAATCTTGTCAAAATTTCAGCCTAAACTATTCTTCGTCGATTTTACGGAATAATGTGGCGACATGAAAAGAGGTTGATAAAATCCTTGTACAATGATTTCGACTCCTCCGCCCTGACGAATTAGAGTCCACCTCGGGTGTCTGGAGAACTGGTTAAGCAACAAATTTTTAATACATGTTATTCACACCATCACATCTGTTGATAAGTAAAAATCTGTTTTCAGTTCGAAAGATTATGTTCAATTAGGTTGAAATACGTTTACAATTCGTTTTTTAGCTAAGCCGGTCAAATGGAGACGGTGATTTTTAGGAGCGAAGTTTCATACTGTTTCTCGAAGTAGCTCTAGCGCAAGATTAGTAGTACAACCATTGCAAGTCAAAACAAGAAAAAAATAAGCCTGCTGTGCTTGACGTCATCTTCAATCATCATCTCAGTGGGCAGCCTTTAACATAAAAATATAGCTATTTACTCTCAAATTAATTTGCCTTGTGCCGTACAGCCCTATAGGCTCAACTTCCTTAGATAAACCAGTAAAGAGGATTCTCAAATAATTGCCCTACAGATCTTTAAGGCAGATAAAAAAAGTTTCAGTACCCTTGTTAAAAGAGGGCGCAAAACATTGCTATCTCTGAGAATCCCACACACGCTTTCAGAGAAAAGCAGATACGTGTTTTTACCTGTTATTTAGCGTTTGGCTGAACAGTTCTATTTTTCTGAACGGGGCATAATAGTATAACATGGTTGTTTGGAATCGTGCAGTGGCATTTATTTAATTATTGCTAATAACGTTAGTTAGATTACTTTGTCGGACTGTGGGAAAGAGTTACCTTATAAACATTTTGTGTACTTGCGCTTCGACAACGTAAGTATGCCAGTTGTTGCTGTTCTTAATAAAGGTTAGTGGAAAATACTGTGATTTATTATTATAAAGGTTTTCTTATATGTGTGCAATCCGCATGCCAGTAATTTTGTACGGAATTCTTTAAATTAAAGGAAAAAATCAAAGGAGAACTGAAAACCTAGACTGCTATATTGTACTTGGCTTTTAAATAAACCGAATGACCAGTTTCGAAGCAATCGATTGCGCTAGAATCTGTTTTATAATATGGCATATATTTCTCACAAACGTCTATACATTTTCGTTTTTATTTTATTTATTTTTTTATTTATTTTAATTTATTTAAGTATTACTGTTGGAGCATATAGCTTGTTGACATTTGAGTTAACATTCTAAATCAACAATCTATCCATTAGATCGTTCAGCATTTCCCTTATATAATGACAACTTAGATATCTAATGACCGTACTTATATTTAGAGAGGATCAAAACGTCGATGGGTAGAGCTCCATAAATACAGAACAATTTCCCGTTAATTTTGAATTATTAGTACATGTTTCAAGTTATTATTGATAAAATAAACTCAATGAAATCCAAATGAAGACCTGTGTTTATTTAAAATAATTTTACTTAATTATTATTTCTATTGTTGAGATCAATTGCAAAACGATCAAATAGGAATTTTCATTTAAAATGCAACCGCTTACGTCAAAACGATGTTCAGATCTGTGAGGATACGAAATACGAAGCAAAAAGCGAGATACTGATTCTGCAAAGATAAATGCTTTTTGTATGTAATGTAACGTTATAATTTGAAAAATAAAATGCGATTGAATTCAGTTCATTTATTTGGTATTATCCCATCGAGGCAATTAGCATCAAATTATATGACAATCGCGTATGCAAGAGATTAGTGGGTCTCCAGTTCAGCTGAACTTATGATAACGACTGTTACAGATTTTAGTGAATCCTACAGCTTTATTTGCATAAGACTCCGCCATAACAATGCACATCCTTCAATTTACAAATGTATACATACTTGTGGTTGTTAAACATTGCTGAAGTACACTTTCCTAGTAGTATTAGTCTTTCAGCTCTCATTATTACAGAACATAAATAATCTATATTTTTGAGTGTGTAAAATAAATATGTTATTGACCAAACTGTACTACACAAATTAGGTGCAATCATCTCAGCAACCACCTAAGTGATTTGAGGTACATCAGACTGAATATGTCCTCAGACCGAGACGACGAAGATGCCCCAGACTCGATTGAAGCCACAAGGTGGGTTAACGAAAATGCTTTGAGTTGTTCCGTCCAGTTATTGGAACGAGTATGCTGCCTGTTTAATCCTAAAGTAGCTAACATGCTGTCTTCTATTATTAATTATCTATTAAGAAATTATTTAATGTCCATCAAAACTTGCAGTGGGTTTACGTCTTTTTGTTTTCCTGATTACACTTTACCGCTTTTAGGAGTGGTCGTCATATAAGGCGGCGCCGTTTCGACGACGAGATTGTTGAGAGTAGCCTGGGTGCTGGAGCCGGGGCAGGCGCCCAGAGAAGCGGAAATCAAGCAGTTTCAGCTCTTCTACAATCGTCTGCGCCGTCAATCGCACCTGTAGCAGCCATCGTTAAAGTTGGTTCATTTCTCCTATCTGATTTAGCCAAGTTTGATTCTATATATTGTAATTTTAATTAAAGCTCAATATTGCTTAACATGGAGCAGCTCTCAAAAGTTTAACACCATTTGTTCTTTCTTCAAATAATGGTGGAAGATTATCTGATTTCTCTTTGAAATTATCTACTAATTCATAGGCAAATTACCTTTTTGGAAGCACATATGAGTTCGTTCTTGTTCTCTTTTTTTGTCTTTGCCTTGCCAGAAGTTTTAGAACTTGCATGCATAACACTGCTAAAGATCTTTTTCGAATGTTGCAGTGTTGCCACATTTAATTATTAATCTAATGATACTAAATTGCGTTGATATATCGTCGAACGCTTTTTACTCTGGATGTCAGCCTTACATCTGTGGGGCATTATTCCAATAAGCGCATCAATAACCACTTTGTAGACGGTTCTGCATTTCTCAGCCAAAAACTTGAATTTTTTTAAATCTATCTCACCTTTTGCGGTGTCTGCAGGCGTATCTGGCAGAACACGTAAGATCTATGGTGGGTTAACACCTGTGTATTTGCTAAAGACGCGCATAACGCGCATTTTTCTTTGACAAATGGTAGTCGCTGGTTTGATATAAAGACAGAATGCATTGTACTGTATATATTCTCACGAGCTTATATATTGCTGATCATACTTTAGTACATAACGACGTTACTAGTGCCTTCGATTTAATACAGAGGAGCTTGACGACTAAAGCACGTAAATCTAGATATGTCTCTTCCATCATGTTTGGTAATAAACCATTGATGTTGTGCAGTAATTATAGCAAAAATGAATTCGCATTTCACGGCTACGTCTCTTTTTAGAGATCGTTTAGGTCGAAGTTTCTTTGATCGGTGGTAACCTGCTTCACCGTTGACAAGAAAATATGCTGTGTCATTGGATCTTATCAGTCGTCAGATTACGGGTCTACTAAGCTTCATTAAAGAATCTAAGCTCATTGTCACGTAGAGAAATGTCCTCTAAGATGTTACTATATACTAACGAGAATATATGTAGAACAATGGATTCAATAATAAAACAGATACTCACACGAAAATCGCCCGGTAGTTTCACAGATTTGGATCTAGTAGCCATACCGGATATGCTTTTAGACGTTGCAGACAGTGTGGAATAATCGCAACAAGTTCAATTCCAGGCAAAAATATGGAAATTTTTTTAGTAGCTCTTGATAATATACACTTTTGGTCTGTCAGTGTAAGCGCGACCCTTGGCCCACGTCACCCTTTGGTTAAAAAGGGGTCTTAGATAAAAAAAAAAAACAGTTTTACAATTACGACATTTTTCTTTTAAGCGCCGAACGAGAATGAATTTACAATCTTTATACAACCAAGAACTTTAAACATAGAATCGTGCCATATGTTCTAGAAAGAGGTTATGCTTTGTGGGTCTATTCGAGTGTTTCTTCAGGTAGTTGTGATTAAGATCTGAGCTGTCTCTGATAACCCCAAAAGGCAAACAATGCGTCAGTTGCGAACTACGAGAAGAAACCAGGCCTAATTCTCGAAAAGAATCCGATACTATCGTTAAAACAGAAGTACCATATGTTTCTAATGATATATATAAGACATTAAATCCGTCGTTAAAAATAGTTATGTCGTAAATGGAAGAGGGCATTTCCAACCTAATGTACAAATGATGTGGTGGAAAGGTGTGAGAGGGAAGAGGCTTAATGTATTAACTAAAACAACTTACATCCCAATGGACCTGCTTTAGGAAGATACGCCGGTGACAACTTATGCAATGTCAGTGCCACTCTCACCGCAAGGCGGAGTTTTAACGAATACTGGGCCACTTTTGTCTATCGTTTGTGGTGATGGTTTAATGGACTATTCTGATGAAGAGCCAGACGAATGGAGAGCATCGGACGACCAGCTTCTAATTAACGCCGTGATGCAATTGCGAGATCTGGAGCTGGTGCATAAAGGAACGAAGTTCTCATACGCCTTTTCGTACGAACAGGTACCATAGACGGAATTTGTATGAAGTACACAAATGTTAATGCTGACTGTCCATCATTCTTATGAGAATGGTACTCGGCTTATCGCAATAGTACTGAAATTATATTTACTATGAAAAAGGCTGTCGCCTGCTTAATCAGTAACATAGTGTAGATACTTTACTCAATTCAGCTGTTATTTTGAACATCGGCAAACGAAGATAACTAATCGTTGGAAGCAGTTGCTCTACTCGGACCCAGTATTGTCGTCAGATGGGACATTCGAAGCTATCAATGAGCTTCATCCCTCAACCGTGGAGTATTTGGAACGAAAAATGCCGTTCTCAGCCAGCGAGGAGGCAATTCTCGCATCTGTGGGCGCTCATCAAGCCCCCACTCAGCAAAAATTTCAAGCTCTGCTTGATGCCAATAGGAAGGTGTGTAGGATTTATTTTGCTGACAGGTGTTAGCATCATGTCAACTATTCTAGTTTATCAGTACGCAAAAGTCTAAACTTGCTTACCGTTAAGACAAATCTATAGTGACGGTTAATATTATCTTTATCCAAATGTAACTATTTTGCTACTGCCAAATGCTTCAGATTTTTCAGCCATGCCGTACAGCAAAACACCTGCTTAAGCATTGGCAATTACTCCGACAGTATTACTTGCTTGCGGATCAACACGTACCGGTTGCTGCCTCAGAAAAAGGCATTCCATTAAATTTCTCTGATGTCGAAGACGAATTCAACGATCCGCAAAGTGATGCTGTAAGTTGCCTTCATACGAAGATTCCAAAATGGATAACACTTATTAGATCTTTCAACAGAGGACCGTTTTGAAAAAAATACTCCCATAAACGGCGACAGGATGGTGAAGATTTGTAACTAAATAGCCCTTTAGCATTTGACAGTATTCATTCTGAATTGCCTATTCTGTCATAGAGGTGTGGACTGTTTAAAAATAAAACTAATAAGATTTCCTAGGATATACATGTTTAGAAAATAATATAGCTACAGACAGAATAGTATAGCTACAGACAGGACATCTATTTTCTTAGGAGACAGCTTTATTTTTATCCAACTGTGTACGGGTGTTCATTTTGGCCTAAGATGTTAGAAGTTCTCGGTCCACAGTCTACGTATTAAAATTATTTGTCGCGTATGATACTTAACATAGTAAACCTATAATATGCTAATATAAACATTATTTTGCCCTGTAATCAATAGCATCTTAGACGCCGTCGAGATTTAGACGTGGACTACGAACAACGCCAGCTGCAGCGATCAGCTCGCCGTGAAATGAAGCGGCTTGAAGCAGAGCTGCCTCTGTGGCAGGCTCTTACCGATAGCATAACGGGGGCACACGCTCAAGATTTTGACAATCAAACGCTGGCCGTTCTCAGGTCTCTTCATTATAATTAAGTTAAACAACCAGTTGTGTTATTCAATATTGTTTTGTACGCGTTAGAGTCCAAGATGGATTTAATCAATACATGACATATGTACTATCCTTTGTTCCTGCTAAAAATACCAGTTTCCTTTCTCAGTGCCTTAAATAAGCGAAACTCAATGTAATTTCAGGGGCCGCCTAGTGCGTTACCTGATGCGCTCTAAAGAAATTTCTTTAGGCAGATCGTCTCGTGATGTAACAGTTGACATCGATTTTAGTCTTGAGGGACCGGCCTACAAGGTTAGCTTCAGCCACTTTGTTATCGCAGTTTGTCCGTTAGAAGATGCCAAATCGTTCTAAAACGACCTATTACTTTCTATATTAACCACAACTATTTTTTTTATAGAATATTAACAGAAAGAGATCATTAACACGAACGTTCATTGTTCATTGTTACAATTTTATTCAAATTTAGGTATCGCGTCGTCAAGCAATAATTAAACTTCGAAGTAATGGCGAGTTCGTGTTTGCTAACGAAGGAAAACGACCCGTTTATGTTGACGGGAATCCAGTGCTTACTGGAAACAAATGCAGGTGTGTGGATACATGTAAGCTAGGGGGGTTTCTAGGGCGACAGTAGCAGAACTTTTCAGTGTTCTTTACGTGATAATTTATATAATGCCATCAAAACTCTAAAGTTTATATTGCTAATAATAATTTACAACTTTCAAATCGGGCTCATATTTACTATAAGGTATAGTAGGAGTCAAAAAATTTTATAGCAACTAGATCCTATTGGGATTTTGCGCATACGCATGTAATACAATACCACTGAACCAAAAATGATTCTCCTAAGCTGTTACGAACGCGTCTAGCGGAATAAACCAGTGTTTCAAGAACTTAGGAGTGATTACCGACTGAGCTTACTTTAGCAAAAATTTGTTCAGAAGGACAACATCTTTTAGTCTCGCAAATCAACACTTAGTAGTAAAGTTTTTGCTTCTGGAATACGAAAATTTCCCGGAAATATGAAGGCATTAGGCAAAGAGGCGATAAGCGAAAGCGCAGTGCGTAGGGGGTGCAAACGTTTCTATAACAAAGACTGCAGTGCTGCAGATCAACGCAAGAGTGATCAGCGATCAGGACGAGACCGCCTTTATTTTTAGGAAAGTACAGCCTGGGATCTAAAAATTCTGTCATCCAAGAATGGTATTTCATGTGTAATCTGCTACGGAATTATAACCTGAATATTGAAAATGCAGAAACTGAATACAAAATAGCTTTCCCGGCAATTGACTCCAAGGTTGGAAATGCATATGATGTACTCCATGTGCAGTTTGCGTAACTTATTTACAAAACACCTGCTTAAAGAGTACAATCGCTATAGACGAGGGATGGCGTAATCTCTGCCGCCAATCGGAGAGGTGGAACCACGTGCAAGAACAGCGTCCCTTGGAGAGAAATCGGGTTTGGCAACAGTGTCCAATAGGCTCGGTCGTAAGATCATTTACAATTTTTTTAGTCGAACTACCTTATTAAATTTTGATGTCTGTCGGATTCGCTTGCAATTGTCTAATTATCTCATAATACCTTAACGTACTCATATTCTATTATGGCTTAATGATATGTTATTTGATAACTACTTAGATTGAGATAACTAATTTGTATTATTTGATTGTCCGCATTATGTTCTGTCGATGATAAATGCCACCAAAATAGTTCCAAGAGCCAAGGACGATTGTTCGTATGACTGAGAGGGCACAGACAGGCGGACTCGCCTTTTGTTCTTATTTGACAACTTTTACAGGCAGCACCTTTCGAAAAGTCATTCTATCTCAAATGTTTCTGGCAAAGAATTGGTCTGGTACTTTTTAAAAAACTAATTTTGGGACATCATTATTTTACTCCTGATACTTATTAGTTTTGCCGGAGTAGTTATGATGTTTCCTGCCAAAAGTTTATATTTTGAATGATTTAGAACCTGATTGACTTTGTTTGTTATAATTTCAGATTGAATCATAACTCCGTGGTTGAGCTGGCTGGTCTACGATTTGTATTTCTAGTCAATATGAAGCTTATCAATTCAGGACAAGCAGACTTTATCCAATGACTGAGGAAGTGGCTATTTAATTATGTAATCGTTAACTCATTTGTTCATAATTATTCTGCGTGTGAGTCCGCTGTATATTGCGATGTAGACGTTCCTATTATGAGGAAACTAGCAGAAATCGCATTTATATAGGTTTCTTATTTAAAAAAAAAAAATTGATAATACACATTAAGGTAGAATTGAAGCCCGTAGTAACAACTATCACAATAAAAGAGTCTACTGTAAGTTGTTTGATAAATTCAATTTTCTAATAATCACGCTTTTTTTTTTAACTTAAACTGGAAGGCAGTGAGTTCATCTCAATTGCATGTACACTAATGACCGAGTACATGAGCACCGTTCTCTGAAAAACCGCCTGTTATGAACGTTTTTTTGTCCGAACATTAAGTAAGGGCAACGAATATATTAAGCGCCCATAAACGTATGTATTGAATGCGTGATTGATAAATGTTTTTCGAGAAAGGTTGTGTTTTTCAAAGATCGTAAAGATAAACAAAAGCTACAATTTTTACTAGAGTTAGTTATCTGACACTCTGTTTATTGCAGTGTATATGCATACAAAACACAAAGCTATCAAAATACACAAATCGTGGGTGGTGGCATTTTGTTGGGAATATGTGTGTTCGTACTATAAAAACCAGTTTTATTTATGGGTATATAAGTAAATGTAGCGGTTTTTATCAGGCAGTTTTAGCTGTAGCTGACAGTATCATTGCGTAACTTGAATAGGAAGAAGTTGATCACTGGTAGCTAATTTTATTCCGAGGTAACTATCGTCGTAACCTACCTTTGTTATTGTAGTCACAAGCTTGATGCTTGGCCACACATACGAAAGGACACATTCAGTGCCATTGCTTTAGGGCCTTAACACCTTATTCTAGCACTTCTTAAAATTGGGTCCTATAAGGGCTGGCACCTTTTTTAGTAAATCATAAGGAACTAAAAAAAGCTTGTGTTAATCATTAATACTGTTTCAAGCTGTTAAAAGCGTGTGTCATTTTAATCCGGCCAGGTGGTTTAATTCTAGAATTCTGTTGTTCTAGACAGCTGACTGTGTTATTTGTTGCGTGAACACGGTGGACGGTTGTGCTGGTGAGATGGCTGCTGCTGTGTACTCTGGAAAACAGAAGAAGCAGCCATCAGGTTCTCGATATATTGACCTAATACGCCGTTTTCCGATTTTAGCTTTAGATTTTCCTCCTTCACGCTATCGACCCGTTGCGAGAGATCTGTAAAATATTAACACATCTGTCTAGTGTAAAATCAACTTTGGTTTATTGAGTATATTAGTTAGAAATTCGAATCTTGATCAAATGACAAATTAAAGTAAAACTAAATCTTATTTAAACACTAATATAATCCAATATTATCTAGATCGGAAATTTTGTAAAATAAAATTACGGGTTAAAAAAGTAAGTATCATCCACATAATAGCAAGCAACTGTTACTGTGAAAAAAAATCATCAAAAAGATCAGATGATAGGGAAAATACTAAGAACGGTTATACACGACACTTAACATTCAAATAGCTAAATTTCGTCTTGTTCACTAGGGAATTATTGTTATAATTTTGATCAAGAAATACTCATGTTGATACCATCAAGCGTGTTTTGCAATTCCAGGACTTGCGAAATCAATCGAGATTTTTCTTCTATTTCATCTGTGTGCAGAGAGTGGTCTAATGCTGGAAAAAAGACAGTAAAAACAAAGCTGTAAGACTATCCTCTATTTACGCATTTTCGGTATTTTTAGGAAATCGAGAAATGTGAGTAGATTTCATTCTGGGAAGAAATGTAATCTCAAAGTATACTATCGCGTTTTATTCTAACAGTGTAAATCCTAATCTTCAGTTATGACACAGCAGCTGTGCGCTTTTGTTTTAAACGAAGCGATTGCAATAGATTTTTACCAATCTTTGTTTCTATATAGATTTTTTTATATATTTTATATATAGATAACTTTTTTTTAGTGTTGTTTAATATTGTTCTATTTAATGGGTTTTATTATTAGAACATTAGGACTTAATAATAAAGGTTACAAGCTTACACGAAAATGCTGAGCCATCATGATTTTCCTCCTCAAAGAATAGTTGTTCCTCCATAGCTCCAGCATCGCGGTGATCACCAACCCTGGAAAAGAAACGTATGTATGGTACATATGTGAAGCCTGTCCTAATTCTCAGTTAATCACTACTTAGAACAAAATAATTGTATTTCTACATATGGAGGTAACCGAAGTCAACGTGGAACTAACGCTAATTCGTCACTGATATAAGTTGCGACGAGAATGGAGTTCGTGTAAATATCATATATCGTCTTTCGTTAACGTGTTTTTTTTCTCTGTCCACATTATATATATATATATATATATATATAAATCAGCCATGTTTGACGATGTTCAGTTTTATATATGACAAGTAGTTATGCTTACACTTACTCTTGCGGCTGCCCATTCCGATTTGGTACTGGTTCTGATTTAACCTCCTCTCCATCTTCATCCGCTAGTGGAATATCGTCAGTATCAGCTAACCCCACACCAATTGCTCCGGTTTCCGACATCACAGACGGACTACGACGGGATCGCGGTATTCCAGCAAATGGTTGTTCTCCTTAAATATATAAATAATCATAAGAGGCTCGGTATCGTGATAACTGATGCAAACTAGCTATCCGCAGAAAACATCCCAATGGAATTTTGACAGATGATAGGCATATAGATGTAACATTATGCTGCACGTCAATCACCTCACGTTTATTAATGTCCTTTATAATCGAACTGGCATACTATTCCATACCATACTGGCATACCATAGAAAATTCGGCTTTTTTTATTTGACTAAAGATTTTTCGACATTCAAGAGACTGATCTACGACTTCTGGGCTGCTCTTTTGTTTTCTCTTTGATTTTTCGTTAACCTTTTTTTCGCACGATTATTTTTCTTGTTACAGTTGATTCATAAGAACTCAGGTTGAGAGATATGATAGATATTATTACTAGATATACCACGTGCGAGTACTTGATATGCAACGATACTATAACAATTGAAAGCAAGTTTATTTTACCAAGACAACATCTGTTTTCAAAAGGAAGGTCATCTCCGACTGAATAACCATTTAAAGCAGGGAAATAATTAAATCAGTAAAAAAATAGTGGCGCATGATTTTTTGAATTATTAATTACCTTTTCGTACACAATTTTCATGCGTAAAAGGTGCGCTTTAATAGGTAGAGTAACGTTTGCTCGAATTGTTTGCTAACCATAAAAAAATTACTGCAGGGGAGTTGTCGTGACATATATTTCTATACATAATAAATTTATGATAAAGAAACTAAAACTTCTTTTATAAATAATAAATAAAATAAATAAATAGCAGTTTTTACAGCTTTGAAACAACTGCATGAGAGGGTCTGTCAGGGTAAGACCCGTCACTTGTTCGAACTGTTACGAATTGCGGAAACTAATCTGACAGCGCTTGAAGCTGTTATCGCTATTACACATATGAGCATATCCCTCATAAGAAACCTATTTTTTATATGCTATTATCATTGTTCTGACTTATTGCTAGCCAACTTCCTGATAACAATCTAGTTAGATTTTTCGTTGCAATGCCTGAGATCAAACAGAAATGTTCTTTACGTAAACGTTGGTCAAGCGCTCAACTCAGTATCTAAATGTATACAACTTACATAAATTTTGACTGTCAACTGCAATTAATTTAGTGGATAATACACATGCGATCCTAACAACACCGCGGGTCTGAAACACGTTAATAGGATCTTCAGTGAAACATATTCAAGCCTGCTTTTTCTCCAATTAACACGGAACGCAACCGCTGTCAACACTGACACCATACACACTGGACACGCATAGACCTGCACACTAGAAGGTTTACCAAACAGATACCTACTGACGGGTGGCCGGGCGGCCGGTCGGCAAGACAAGGCACACAAAGGCACACCACTGGTAGAGCTGTTCTTTACCTTACCTTGACCCGTTGACTGCTGTAACATCGACTGCTAACAAAAGCTACACACAAACAAAGAGTATTAACGCATCTTGTAAAGGCAATACGAGCATTAGCTATATTCCTTAGAAAACCGACAACATGCAATGGCGTACAGCAGGGTATTTTGATTACATAGACACACATTTATTATTGTTGCTACTCCGCAGTATCAGTCCTAAGGTACAGAACTGCACAACACCGGTTGCATGTAATAAGAACCGAGAAAAAATCCTTTCATTGTGCGAAATATCAAAAAAGCGCATCGAAAACTACGGTTCCATGGAAGAACATTAATTGTTGTCGAGATCAAATTAAAAAAACTAAATTACGAATAAAGCGACATTTCATAATGATAGAAATATTAATTATTATACACGATATATACACCATATAGCTAAGACTTTAGAATTCTTTTCTGCTGTTACATATCGGCGATATCTGTCTTGAGACATCGCATTGTTATTTACAGAATCTACGTCACATTTGCGATAGTATGCAGGATAGTACGCATATTCCGAGAAGAACCGAAAATACGCTGATTCCGCACGTCAGTCATTTCGCTATAACAGAAACTTTGGATCTATAATTAAGATGACACTGCTTTCTGACAAATTCTGAAGAAGACAGTGAGGCAATCACTGAAGAGTAGTACTGATAAAATTAGCAGTATTAAGAACCGATGTTTAGTCATCGGTACGTAGCCTGAAAGAATTTTGGGAAAAGATACGTGTTCACATATCGAAATTGAAATCTTGTCGATACGCAAAAAATTTGAGGCAAGATTGATTATTGACCATATTATACGAAGTATTAAATGCTCCCTAGAGGTAGCAATGTATGTCGAATACGCTATTATGACAAATCATCACTGATGATTGCATTCAGGGTCAGCACTGAAGTCACATATACTTAATGCAATCTCCTTAAACGATTAACAAAATGCTTGAGACTATAACATCAGCTAAAATTTGTTAAAACACTTGAATCAAATAAACATCTGGAAAAATTGCTTCATTGAAAAATAGCTGCGCCGAATTATTAACAAAACAATATTTGTTCGACTTAACGATGCTGATGATGCCCGACTCAAGGGAACGATTGGAATTACGGCTTGCATACAGTTATAGATGGGACATATTGTACTACAGTTTGGATAGAAGGCGGTCGAAGGCACTCGCTCTTGAGCTTCATTTGATCTGTCATTCACTGCGTATCGCGCGCTCGCGCGGGTTCCTTCGCCCGTCTTACCTCAGACTCCATGTTTAGGATTAGTAGCACCTGTCTGGGAAACCATTTCTGTTCATTCAGGATAAACCGCCAGCCGGTTTTTTGTATCGCAGTGTCACAACAAATCAGTGAAAAGTGAATTTGAAACTGAAATTTAAATTTGATGAGATTGTTGGCTTTTATTAATTTTCTATTTAATTCGAGCACTAATGCATTCAAATGGTCAAACATGTAAACAGTGTGACTGCGTAGATGAAAATCTGCTTTGCTCTACTTATTGTTTTGGCTAAAATAGAAGTGCTTCTCCGCCGATTAAATAATTAATTGAAGAAGGGCAGATTGTTCGTAGAGAGGATTAATTTGAAATCTCTTCTTCAGCTTAAATCAGATTCTCTTCAGTGTTATATCGAGGAGACTCAGAAAAGGATTCTTTTGTTCTTTCATTCGGTAGAGCACTGAGTCATCGATATATAATACATAATAACGTAAGTAAATAGACTCAAGATCAGCACTATATAAAGTGGCAGGCATTGGGTTTTATTTTTATCGTAGCTTCTGTATGTACGGCCAAAGTCATGAAAGTCTAGTTCATGCAAATTATTTCGTTATTGTGTGTTACATTATGTAAGCAACTCACGTATTATGGAATTTGGAACCATGTATTAATGCTTCCATTTGTGAAACGTCGTACAATTATTTATGAGGTTTATATATGACAACTTGTCTATTTTCAACATTAGACAAAACCATTAAGTTTGGAAGCCTCAACGTACAAATTGGGTATTTTCTATTATGGAATATCCTGAATATCCTGATTGTTCGAAGCCAACGAATTTATGCCAGTATGAGCTGTAGTTACTACCTGCATCTTACAAAGTTTCATAGCTTTTTTACATATAAAAAAAATTAGTCCATAATAGTAATGCGTTATATGTGGCTTTAATAATTTTTTTCATTTCACATCCTCGACAGAATTTCTTTTCAGAATTCTCCAAAGTCTTTCGACATCTATTGGTATAGACCACGGCATACCGGCCCACACCAATTGCTTATGTGTTATTATATTATTTTATAACGGTGACTTCCTTGCAATTTTCGTGATGTTTTTTAGACACTGGGGTATTTAGAGACCAAGATTGACCTTTAATTACATTCAAGTGCTTAGCAGCCTATGTCGGCCCTAGTTAAGGTTGGAACTGTACCACAGCGATCGTTTTCGACTTACTTCTATATTTCAAAATTGATTATAACATGTACGTTCTTCGTGATACTGTTCATTCACAGAAAACTGATGTAAAAACTGGACGAAGCTAAGGATATTAGTGAACGGTTTCGCACATGGCAGGGCGTCATTATTATTTAACGGAATCTTACCCGCAAGAAACATTTCCAAACTGCCAGAGATTTTTTTAGGGTTGATGGTATGGTAACCAAGTGTGGTCAAGGACAGTACTATATAATCAATTTCAAAAAAAACAATTATTAAGCTTTCACCAACAAGATTTTCCCCAGCAACATAAAGCGTTTTTCCCTCCAGCATGTCAGAGGCAGCTGTAAGCCCTTAAGTTTATCGTAACTAGGTAAATACCATTAGCAAATACTAGTTTTTCGTTTGCCCACTAATCCTCTAAATTGCTGCTAAATTACTAATATATGGCGAAATAGCGGAAAAAATGTCCTGGGTAAAAGCTATTCCAAAAAAGCTATGAAGTACTATGGAATAGTCACTTGAGATGGTTTTTATTTATTACAGCCCGCAGCCTTAGGCCTGATGGGGGCAACACACAGTAGTAGCAGTGGTGTTGCGGCTGGAGGTACCCTGATGGCTCGCGAGATAAAACAACTTCGCATGATGGCAATGCTGGATCGGAACGATGTGGCCAGGATGATTATCGAGGTAAACGACGCTGGATTGAACCTAGGCGGAAGAGAGGTGGGTATCAACCCGTGAAACTTCAACCTGACTCGCACAAAGGGTAATTTAGAATAATAAGTCGATTTACGTAGAGCTCTACGATTCCGGCCTCTAAAATAAAGGTGAAGAATATTCCCGTCGCGGAGAAACTTTACTAGATATAAAATATTTTTATTTCCTACTAGATCAGCTACATTGGAGTATAACGAAGCTATTTTTGGTAATTTTGTAAGTTGTGTCACCTTTCAATATAAGTAACTTTTAAATCGAACTTCTGACAACTTATTTTAGTCAATGTACCGTTCATTCACTTCGATGATTTTTTCAGTCCTTCACAGAAACCGCACAAAAGCTGCACAGGAGTTAGCAAGTTGATCGTTAAGCTGATATTACTGTATGGAGTCTTGCTGGAGTCGGTTCAAATAACACCTCACACACAAAGAAATCCGAGAAACTGAACTCTAGACTGCCATCCGATCAAAAACCCTGTAACGTTAAAGTAATATTTATAAAATGATAAAATTTGAAAATATGGAAAATGTCTAAAAAATGCGTATGTGCTCTTAAGGTACTTCGAAAACATGCAATTAACGGTAGACACACTTACACTAACTGCTGAATTTTGAACTGCGTTCCTGGGGTGACTGCATATGCACTAGTAGCATTTCAAATTAGTTTCAGAATTTGTACAGTCGTAGTTATCTGTAGCTATTTTGCCACCTTGGGGCGTTCGTGCAGTCGTGTTAACCAGTTTGTTTACGGTCCCGGATAGACTATGTTCGGTGCAAAAACAAACAATGAAATGGCGCGTTCCTGGCTCAGGCACGGCAATGTTATTACATATATTGGTTACCTATAGTCCAGACTAATCTAAGCACCACCGTTTGTTATCTACTAGCGCTATTACATGCTAAAACTTCTCTTCTATAATTCTTAACAATTATTTTTAGAATGGAGCTCTGTAACGGAGTAGTTGGTTTACTTTTCAATTGAAAAGATTTATAATCATATTTTTTTATCTGAATTGGAAGGTAAACGTTAAAGTCGCAGGATATTCGGATGACCACCTCTTGTGGCGAAGTGGAATTCGGTTTCGTTGCACTGTGAAGGACCTTCAGTCCGGAGAAGAACTAACTAAGGTGCAATATTTATGAATTATGTCAGGACCCAAAAACATGCAAGTTTCCTATGTAACATAATTAATACTCTTATGAATTAAATGTTTGCGTGACTAAAAGCAAACTTTTTGTTATTTGTGGAAAGCACCATCGTAGGGAACTATTTCACAAAACTTACTACGTACATATGTCTGCGGCTGGTTCACGTTAATTTACATTTTGTAGGAAATTAATCTCCGCCAATTTATTACCGTCTACCACAATGTGATGGTAAACAAAAAGCTCCTTAACATTCCGACAACTCAACAAAATGGAGCAAAGAAAGGTACGTCTTCTATTCCTTTATCTGCGAGTCTGTAGAATGGAGTAACAATTACCGACAGTAGAAATTTTTTTTCAATTTTACTCGGATGCTTTTCGAGCCAAGTAAATCGCCTTCTGTACCAAATTAGAAAATGTGGGCTTCTTGGAGTGCCCAAGCGTTTCGCTCTGGAAACAATAGGCCATTTTGTGAACTGAACCTTTGCCAAGAGGTTTTCTTATTTGTGCAACCTTGGTAATCGCTTGCAGAGGATTCCGGACAGCAAACTCAGCTCGCCGAGTTGGAAGGAGAAGAAGAGGATGATCATTTATGTTGTGTTTGTCTGGAAAGGGAACGCCAGATCTCGCTGCCTTGCGCACATTCATTTTGTCCATCCTGTATACATGAGTGGCAGCTGCGCAGTAATGCTTGTCCTTTATGCAGGTAAACTTGTTCTTTTTAGTAGTGTTCTGGATGTTCAATACTTGCATTATTCCCATTTGCTGTGTACTAATAATTCAATCGTCAAATCATCTGCTTTCCAATTAATTAAATAGGCGAATACTGAGTATGTGATATTCACATCATTTTAACTATGAATATTACTATGACAAGTACTTACACATTTTTCATCAGTTGCATTATTCGTTAACAATTCCCGCCTTCATAAGACTTACATAACTAAAAAAGTTGCTTGTATCGAATTCGTATGTGCACACTAAATAATGGCCGCTGATACAGTGGATATATTTTACTTCTAATTGTGTCCCTTCCAGAATTAAACATAAGGTTTATCCATGAAGCCACTAAACCAGTAGGATTTTCTACTAGCTTGCGTATTCGTCTCCGGTTGATTAAGCCCAATAGGGTTACTGTTTGATCGTTTAACCCAGCCTAAACGAATCGAAATAAGACCTCGAGCCTCGGCTGACAAAATCCAGCGATAGAGTATCACTATCGAGATTCAAACCAAAATGTCGTTCCTCCTTCACCCTTTTTGATACCACTCACTATATGAGCACTGAGGGAACCGTTTTATGCTCAGTAGTTTCTCTGGAAGGCCGACATATTTCTCAGCTGCATTTTCGTAAAACATTCCGAAGTTGTAACGTAACTAATGTAGCCGTTACCGTGCATAACCTTATCGCTCATTTACGATTTTTCTGCAATTATCCCGTTTTCAGGGAGGAGTCAACGGTTGAGGACCAATGGATACTTGAAGATGGTCCAGATCTAACCGAGATGGAGAAGGAACTCAAGACGACACTCGTAAATCTACTCAGATCATTTTAGCATTTATTATCAACCTGACCTGGAAATGGTGATTGAATACGTCTATCAGAACGTGAACGTTCAACATCATAAAACAGTGCAGTATAGCTTCAAATGTTTTCTAAAATCATATACCCAAAATAGAGATATGAGATACGGAACTACAGAAACAAACATTTGAACACGACTATTTTAGATAACAGAATGCAGTGTTCAGCATAATTACTCAGCTCTTGCAAGGTTCGAATCTGCTGCTCGTCTTTTGAAGATGGCATTCTAGTGTACATTTACGGGTACCGTCTGTACAGTAAGCATGTCGGTATCACAGTGTCTCCAGCGGAAGAATGCCACAGAAAATAGATATAGAAATACCAAAAAAAACCTAATTGCAGCAAGAATATTGTAGAAAATACTTGATCGAACAAATGAGCTTGAAACTTGGAGTTCATTATTAGGCAACTCAAAGTGATGATGACGGAGTTCATTATTAGGCAACTCAAAGTGATGATGACCCAGAAAGGATTATAGCTAGGTGATAATTGAATAATAATTAGAGGAAACAGAGGGCGGGTGCTAAGGGAGAGATAAGATTACTTACAATGATGGCTATATTATTTTAAGTACCGTTTGTCATTTCGGCTTATACAATATGGGTCTAGTTCGAGTCCACTTAACTCCAGCCGTGCTTATTTTTCGTCTCTCGTTCTTACCCTCCACTAGCTGTTTCATCAATAATACCTGCCTCTGGCAAAATTTAGCAGTCAGAAAAGTGTTCCTCTTTTATGCTTAAGCCCAAAAGTCTCAGACCGATACATTAATCCCATACCGCGCAACTGGGTGGAAGAAACGATTCGGCATTGTAGCTCACGGGTAACCCAGTTTTCCTGTTGTCGCTTACAGTGTTAATATATTAACGTTAATCTGTAGTACCTTCCAGACACTACTACCTTACGAGCACTCAATGCCCTTTTTTTGTTAATTGAAACGCTACTACAAAGGTCGTCTCTTACGCAATAATATGAGTTCCTATTTGAGGTGAAGACAGAAGTAAATACGTGGTCGAATTTATATACCCTTTATACAGTTCTGTAAAAATCAATTGTTCAATTACTTATTAGCTGTCGTTGTTAGCCTTTTGTGCTGTTCATGCTTGGAAGGGGTTTCCCTGTGCTTAGAAGAAAAGTTAACGGCACTGTTCATTATAATGACTGCCAAAGATTTTCAGCAACATCGTTGCCATCTACACTTTAGCAGATGCGGCTGCAGCACCGTTGAAATTCGGAAGTGATATATATGCAGTCGAAGCTCGAAATTAGAAATTTTAGTAGAATAAAAACGGTTACCGTTGGCAACTCTTTCTTTGTTTAAGTCAATTGAGTACCGTCAAAAATGATAGTCGTGAATGAATTGAATATAAAAAATCTGCAACTACAGCTTGTAATGATGAATACCATTGCTGCGGACGAATATTGTACATTACTAGCCTTTGGTCTGACCAGACATCTATGACTATTTGTGTAAGAGATCCCATCAGCATAGGGGCCATTACACGTCCTTATTTTACTATATTTTTTAATAATATGATCTTATTAGATAATAAATTTTATTTGAAATATAGTCTTTATTTGTATACTATTATTGCAGTGCGCATTAAGTTCTGCAATGTACATACATTGATTATGTTTATATAGCATAATACATTAGTTAGCATGAAGTTGTCATAGTTTATACGACAGCAACCGTAGCGAATTGCTGTACACTACTAATACGGCAGAATATATACATGTTAGTAATGACCGTTTTCTAACTAAATGGCTTTAAAGTTACATATCTCATGTAATAATAGTCATTTTGGGTCGGCGTTTATGTTGTTTGAAAGCAGAGGTTTGACCCCTGTAGAGGTGCTAACATTATTGGAATGCTTTATCCAGATTAGAGTGCCTTTAAGAATATGTCTATAAAACTTTGCTATATTTTACAGTTATATCACGATAAAGGCGGAAATGCTGCATACCAATAAAAAAAAAAGTTGTGCTGTTTGTGATCAAGGTACATTACCGAAAAAAATAGCCTGAAAATGGTTCTATCACTTTCTTTCTGAGAATTTCGATGTGAAAAGTGTTTCTCGTAGCGGCCTATCAGCTACGAAAAAAGCTAACTAAATTATTGCGAAAGTTGAATGCGGCCGATATGTGAGTAGCTATGAAATCGCCGAAGAAATAAACATCCACCGCCAAACAGTTTTAAGCCACTGGAAAAAAGCTGACGATAAAAAGACATTTGATATTTGTGTGCCACAGGGATTGACGCAAATAAATGTACTTGACTATGACTATATTTCCATCTTTGAAAATCTAAGAACGCAACAAGATCGAGCCATGTCTGAAACGGTAGATCACGGGTGATGAAGAATGGATTACATATGACAAAAATGCGCGAAGAAGATTATGGTCTGTTGCGACATGTGGATTGGTGCCGAAGAAGGTGATGCTTGTGTGTGAATCAGAAAGGAATCGTGTATTATAAGTTGTTGCCACCTGGTAAACGATTAATTTAGAACGCTACTGTCAACAATTAATGTGATTACAACAAGCTATTAAAAAAATCGACTGGAACAAAGTGAACAGAAAAGGCGTTATCTGCCAAGTGGTAATGCTAGACCACATGCATCTTTAGCAATTCGGCAGAAAATGAGAAAACTTGAATAGGAAATGTTAATGCATAGCGCAGATCTTGCACCATAAGGCAATCATTTGTTTCGGTGTTTCCAGAATTTCCTTAATGGTTCTAGCGGGGCGATGCAAAAGTCACTTATCACAGTTGTTTGCTTATAAATTAGAGAAGTTCCACAGTGATGGGTTTATATATATATATATATATATATATATAAACGCTAATAAATAATATGCTGAATGACAAAATAGTATAGAGTTAAAAGGACGTGATTTTCAAAAATAAGGTTGTACTTTTCACCTGGCTTCGCTTTTGAATCGTCGTCTCTAAAATTGGCTACTTATATCGTATATGATGACAATAAAAGTTTATGCAAAACAAAGCCGTCAACACTCGTTACGCGGGAAGTTACCCGAAATCGCCGTTTCTTTGATTACCAATGGTGCCGTGGTTGAGATCATCATTGTTCGTTGTTATCGATCTAAGTATGTGCAAAGCGCAATAGCAAAGCAGTAACTAAGTCTTCTTGGATATAAAATTAGTAGCTTAATTTTTCGTTGACTATTTTTTTTTTATCACCCTGCGTTTAACGTAACCATAACTGATATAAATAGTTGTCACTGCGTATAACGAGAACATAGGGCAGGAGGTACTCATAAAAATATGCTAACATATCGTTTATCGAGAAATATAGTTTAGTGAAAGTTAGTTATAAAACTGCATTCATCATGCATCCTGAGGTACATATGCATATTTAAAGACAGACTAAATATAGTAAGTATGAAGCGACGGATTCTTCTATTATTTTATGTACTAATGAACACGCGCTGTACTTCATTTTAACATACAAATATAGTGTACCATTTAACTGATATATATATAAGCTTGTTCTACACATGTAATAATGTCATGCAATCGCAAACTCAGATTCGTATCTTGACCAAATATTATTTTATAGCTAGACACAGTAGCTGTAACAAAATAGAGACCCTGTTGCCATTCGCGACAAGAATCTTCAACTTTTTCTCCAAATAAAAACGGGGATGGTGGCCATTTAGCATTTTTAACCACCCACGTTGAGCTTCCAAAAGCAATGAAGATAATTTTAGTGCACTGCACAGCACAATGTACCATTCGACCGATTGGTTATTCTTTGCTAACTACTAAAGATGAGAGCAGACTTGGTGGTTATTTTTTAAGTAAAATCCATTTGTTTTTGGCGGATAAATTCACTTGAGCTACCATTGCAAGAAAATGGGGGGTTCGATTAAGTTTTTGAAACAACATTTCTGAAAGAATTAGTAAGATCGCGAAAAACTAAATAGTAGGAAAAACCCTTATTTCAATCGTCAGCCATGAGCGCTAACGGAAATAAAATGTATGCGCAATTACTTGAATATAAATAAAATTCAGACTTTGTTTTGTACGGGTCCTTTTCTAGGGCGTGTGGTAGCAGCGACTAAAATGGATTGTGACGGAGTAAGATTTGACAATGAGGAGCAAAATACCTTATAGGTTTCGTCGACTGATCTTTCCCTTAGTATGAAATCTTTCCGCTAATAATTTGAACTAGGATTGTCGAATCTATTAACAAAGACAATTTCATAAGATAGTACAACCACTAAAAATACATTGACAAAAATATATATATATTCTACACAGAATTTCAAAAGCGACTTCTTCCTACGGAAATGTTAGCGAAATCTGTTATTTTCGCATAGGCCCTTGCTGATCATCCTATCTTGTTTTCTGCGACATGATATTACTAACAAGATACACTAGGAATATAAAAAGTGAAAGTAGTTCTACAGAACTTGGATTAAAAAACTGTTTTTCTCCTAGATTTTAAGATCAATTTATGGTTGTACCACTTTTTAGTACCTTTTGTTGAGAATTATATTTTTATTATATTGTATATAGCTTTTTTAATTTATAATTTTGATAATCCTTACTTATACAGCAGCGTCCCGTTGATACACTGACAAATATCTGCAGATTCGCGGTAATATATAAAGTTAGCGCATTGCATTTAAAGCACTGCATGTGAGCGAAATTCTAGTTTCTAATTAATATTAAGTAAATACTAACACTATCTTATGGCGTCCATAATGGAAGCATCCCAGCTTTCACTGATAAAAGCAATTCATTCGAGCTTTATGCGCTTTTACCTATCTTTTGGTAAAATCCGTACTCTCAAACTTGGACATTGTAAAATCTAGGACCACTAGTTTATTCTTTATTCATTACTTCTTTACACATCACTCCTTATAATGAGTTTTAAATCTAGACAACAGCAAGCAAAGTGGCTTTCAAGTGACATGTTCCTTTGGTATTCTGCCGAATTCATAGCCTCGCTTAAAATTGTGTTACACACATTGAAGTAGATCATTAAGCTTAGTTAAAGTCAGAAAATGGTTGTTCTGCCATTAAAGAGTGACTTGATTTCACTTATAAAGTCTTTGTTTCAAATGATGCAGTTTTTTGATGAAGTATGAAGGATCTTGCCTTAACCAGCTTGCCAAAATATGTTACTCTGCCTAACTTTGCTTATCAAACGCAAGCAAGCCTTAGGATTACACAATCAGTCTTCAAGTTGGGATCACAATAAGAAATGCGTACCAAGACAACGATTTTCAGACCAGAAAAACATAAGCCTTTAATAATTTTATAACAGGCTTTTTTTATGAAAACTTTTGATCTTGGTAATAGGCTGTTCCTTGAATTATCTTGATTCATGACTGATTTAGTTAAAGATTTTGCAAAGAGGTACTGCGAGCACTACGCTCCGTAAATGTCCACTAAAAAATAGAACACCATCAATGCAAGTATAAATGACCGTATTATGTACACTTCGCTTGACAAACGATTAGAATATGTTCTCTATAGTATTTACATAGGTGACGTGTATCTGGTCTAGTCAAATTACAAAGAAAAGCCTTAGCGCCTGTTTCGAAAATACCTTGATGTATGGAAAAAATGTGTAAGAGACGTACGGCCTTCCAGAAATTGCTCTCAGATCCAAAATAATTTCATTAAGCGTTAGAAAGATCACTTTTCCGACATAAATGACCGTTAAAGCGCGGTATAATATTGTCATTTACAATTTTTTGTCAATCCTCTGGAAGCGTAAAGGGATTTTTAGTTTTCTACGAATTATATATTCTGGTTATTATAAAAACAGAATTTTTGGTAATTTAAAATTTTGTTGTTTAATTTTTTCCTTGTCGCCACATGAGCTCATTTCAACTGATTTAATTACCTCGGTATGGTAAACGCACTTCCAATACGTAGAGGCCAGTCAGTCATAGTGGTAAAGAGATACATTAACTTTAAGCTCTCCCTGAGAATTAAATCACTGATAAGAAGTATGTTATATTATATATGTACCGTTATTATTAGATTTGGACATTTGCTGTTATAAATATTTGCGACACACGAGCATATCGCGAGCCTTTGATCGTCATCGTCCACAATATTATATATATACTAGTATTAACTGATAATACGCGTGACAGATGGTGAGATTACCGCTTCCGATGCTGCTGGTGACTTAAAGGCACGCACAATATTTTTTATTTTTATGTCAAATTTACCGTCAATGGTACATCAAATGAATCCTAATGGCAGTTGGTTCAAACGTTGACAATTGTTGACAAATGTTGACAATTGGAAGTCTAGTTTCAAAACGCAGACGACAGAGTATCCGTTTAAAATAAACAGTTATGAGGCAAACATATATTTGCGAACATACTGGGAACCACGAAAAGATAAAAAATTAATGACTTCGCATTTATAAACAAAAAAGCAGGCAAATTATTTCAAGGAGCCATTCCGTGCGTCTGTACAGCTGCCTTTTGAACCCTAAAAAATCAATTACAGTACACAGGTACAGTGACATCCTTTATTACGGCAATAACTGAATAAAAAAAAATCTTGAGTTGATGCCTGTTAGTACATACTGCAGAATATTTCGGATGTCAAACGCGAACGAGCCTAATCTAGTTGGACTCGAGGTTGCGATGGGCTTCGAAATCTGAAGTGAACTTTAATACAACGAACTGCATTAAAGCGTCGTCTACTGCCACTATCAGAATGTAACCAATGCAATTAATTATCAACCACTCCCTCCGCGTTTGGTTTTATGAAGCGGCTGCGACGTCTACGACCACGCCGCTGTTAATGTCAATGGTTATATTATTCGTCAACGTTATTTTCTCGACATTATGTACCAGTATATCGGAAACGTAGATTCATCTTCCCTAGAACGAGCAAACTTATGTAATAGCCTTATTTGCAGCATTACCGCCGACTACTGCTTAGAAATCGATCGTTAAACGATAGCAGGACAGAACATAACGCACATGCAAAGATACAATAGGTAATGGGCGAGGAGGATGGCTGCTGTTGGTGCCATGGCGATCAAATATCGTCCACCGGACATATCAGCACCACTTCGATGCATACGCGCCCATTCGAGCATACCGCCTCGGCCTGCAAGCGCCGTCTGGTGGCGCCGCGTTAAACTAGCTTGCTGCTTCGTCATTGCATGATGGAGTCTTTCGGCCATCAGTGTGCTATAGAACGCTGCCCTGCTTGCTGCCACGATTCAGCATAGAGTTGTAACGAAACTAGTAGTAATAAGTAGTGGCATCGGTGTTAGCTGATTGAAGACTGGCGTGCCTCTGCGGGCCCACCTTGCTCGACACACTTAATTTCGTTTGCGTAGAGAGATTCCGACGTCTCAGAAACAGAATTTTTGAAGAATGAAACTCAGAAGGTTGTTTGTGCTGACGGGCCTCGTAGCCCTCGTAGCGTCGCAAGGTGAGTTAATGAATAATGAGAAAAGATCGACAAGATGACAATAGTAACGACGGAGACAACGACGAGGACTATGATGAGGATCATGATCATGCTTACTGTTACTCGTTGCCTTTTTCTCGTTGTCGTTCTTATCTATGCTCTTTTCATGTGTGAGCTTTCAGTTCAGCTGTAATGCTTTCGGATTTGTTACTGTATAAATAAAGACATACCCGCCTTTAAAAAGCAAAGCAGCTGTCTTGCTTCGTTAATAACGAAGAAGAATAAGAAATTACTCGCAGAGTAATTGCACGTGAAGTTACCCTTCTTTTTCGCGTTTTAATATTTACTGCGCAACTAAAAACAGGCGCCGTAAGAAAGCTCAGACAGAAATACAGACAGTACAGAAATAGATAACGAACTGTTAGATGACTCTAACCTACTACTTTACCAATACAAAATATTTCGAGTTTTACATCCGATACCACTGGGTAGCAGTGTTTCTAATAATAGGACACGCAAGTATGTTTCTATGCCACTGCCTCAATTATAAGCAAAACTAACTGACTGTAGCGCGTCTGTTCGAAGAAAACCGACTGTTGTAGCTGTTTCTGGTACAGGCGTACGAAACGCGGTGTCATTTACTTGTATTTGTCGCCATTACCTCTCCTACGGAGAAACCGCCTACCATGCTGCTGCTATATCCATAGGCATACAGTTGCTTACGACTTGTCGCGAACAGCTCAAAGGTCCTAACAGACGATATAGTATTTGCCGGCTGGTTTTGTTATTAGACTACAAATGGCGCCTCCAGGCCTTTAATACTAATATTTTCAAGAGCCAAGAAACCATAGTCTCAAAGTGCATATATACACACAATGTAGAAATCAAGAGAATAAATAATTGGAGATCGAGTTGCCAGTTAGGAAAGGCTTCACTAATTAGCAATTTAATTCATTTTGAGTTTCTCTTCGAGAATTGTCACAATGATAAGAAAGAATTGATGACAGTAGAATATAGGAAGCAGATTATGAGTGACGATACCGAGCTGGTCGTTAGTGGTTCTGGCCAGTGGCCGGTCATGAGAATGACCTGGATGATGGCAATGATAAAACTAACAAGGTAGCCACTGCACTGCTTTGTCGTTATTCGTCTTCTGCGCGCATGAAGATTATAGTCATAGTGATGAATTATCTTGGCACATAATAGGATAAGATGGGTGTAACTAAATTTCCAAGCTGATATTATGTGACATTTTTATGTTGCTATGACAAGATCGATATATATCTGGCCAGAAAGACATGTCAGTCAAATGTAGAGTTTAACACCAACCGTCGACATATTGTCGCACTTTCATCGTCGTTCTCAGTGAAACTGATCGCTTAGATCGCACTTTTGTGATAAGTAAATACATATCGTTTAGCTGAAATGGGACTGATAGCCCAGCAATAATCTCTATCGTTGTTAAATTGATACAAAAAAAAAAAACTATTTTGCATTTGAGAGACTATTCGATGGGGTATTGCACAAGTTCTGAAAAGAAGAAAAGATAAAAAAAAGCGAGCAAAACATACCTCTGTCGTGTTTACCGACTGCCTGCGAACCTCTTGTATTGTAGAGGCAGAGTCGTAATCAAATAGGACATAATATGATTCCTTTTACGCACTATAGAGTCTCGTAGGTGCCGTGGACAACAAGCTTAACAGTGTCAGTACAAGTTATCGGGCAGTAGCATTTAGTGTTTGTTACAGCCGACGTAGTGATATGTACGGGTCATTGTTTATTTGCACAGTCATTAGAGTGATGCGGGACTTAAGAGGGAGTACCTGAACAGCTCAATGCTACAAATGGTTTCCTACGAACTTGAAGTACGTTACTTATACATGTTTGAAGTTTGCTTAGTCACTATTAACAAAAGGGTTACACATTTGAAGTACATCATACATTGTGAATGCATGATTTTAGGCGGATACACGTCTATTATACCTTGCCACACGTACGTATGTTAGTACCTATATAACCCGCAGCTGGCGCTAATTGCTGTTAAGGGCAGTTTGCTTGAAAGGCAGACAAGTTTAAAGCAGCGGCGAAACTAATTATTGAACGCTGAAGTTGTTGTTGCCAACTTGGAGCAATGCGCTTCAACGAGCAAATGCGTTGATATCGTAATAAACAACAATAACACTCTGCTGCTTCTGCTGATATGGTCGGTGTTGTTTCCTGAGCTGTTATCTGGCTTGTACCAGGGGCTGTGCCCGGCTGAGCCATCGGTATGGCGACTGATACAGTTCTTCGTTGTAGTCGCTCGTTACAGGTTTGTCGCTGCTACTGCTGCTGGTTGTTGTTGTTACTCGCTGTCTATTCACCGTTACTACTGGCTTAGCTAACAATAATAACCAACAGCGAACCAGCAACGGTCGTATGAAGGAATACAGTGGTTAGAAAGATAAAGCGTCAATGGAAGTGTTTGTACGCAATTGCCTTAGCAGTCAAATGGATCGGCACCGTCCAATGAGCAGGGAAAGGAAAAAACACTTATTCTAGGATAAACCTGTACTACAAAAATCTTGTGTTCTCGGTTGGGAGTAGAATCTACAAGTTGAAATTAAGTCGTAGGTATATTCAGGTACATAGGTGTATTCAAGAACTCTCTGGCGTTATTGTTTTGGTTTAATTCTTAGTTCAATACACGCGTGGTTACGTCACACAAAGTATCGGGTCGACGAAACCTTAAATGTAAGACTGACAGATATGTGTGACCTTTAAGGCGGACTCTCTCCTAGAAAATTAATCTATCAATTCCAAATGAATGTAATAAGCTAGCCGATCGGGAAGCTCTGTTTTTAGTTAATAGAATAAAGCATTTCCTGAAAATACTTCAGATAATCTACGCATCTGCTAGCATCAACTTACAGTTTTTATGTTGCTATGTATTACAACTTTTGTAGCGTTTAGTTTAAATAATCTGTTATTACTAATGTTCATCTAGTACTTCTACTGTCTTCTCTGTACATTTGGCTCAATCCGCTCAAGGGAACTACGTTGAACAATGTTATTAAAGGTCGTTATTCCTCAAAAAACAATGCAATTTACCGTTAGCAAATATGGTTAAGGCCGTACCACCTTCTGTGTCAGCCAGCAAAACAGCACACGGGACATGGAGAAATAAGAGCAGATTAAACGATGCGAGCAGGAAAGGGGTTCTTGGACACGAGAAGGCTTATAGCCGCCGCTCGGCTCCGGGCATCCGGTTATGCGTCCATGTATTCAATGTTAGATGAAACGCTGCGACAGCCTTTCACGCCGAGGATTAGTTATTAATATTATTATTATACACCCTTTTGCTTGAAGAATTAGATGGGAGGCATGGCGATGCTGTCCACTGTAGAATCACTAGGCGATCGCTTTCTCTCTTTTTCTATTTGCCTATTCGATGACGAGTAAAGAAAAACTGATATGCGTATCTTTAAGGAACACGTGGTAGTCGCGAATACCTTCGATAGCTACTGGGTGGCTATAGTTTTATACGTAAATCAGTATTATCGTCGTAATATTAGAAATTTATTAGTTTGCGATAAAATAGATGTACGCAAAACGCTACCAATTAAACGCACGACAGTGCACCACTTACGGAAAGCGGTTATTGAACTGATGTATATGTACAATTTATTGGCCTAATTAATTGTATTCGCATCTCTTGAAACTGTTATATAGAAGGTTCTTTATCTATATCGTCTCTTTTTGTTAGGGGGCTACATTGTTTTTTACGATTTGACGGTTGTGTTAACCTTTTTTGATATGTTCTTTGTCATAGAATCTGTTGTACGCCAAGGTTCGAATCAGTATTTCTCGTTCATCTCGGGAAGTAGAAGATGATGATGGTTACATCATAACTAAATTAAATCTGTGAATCGAACGTGCTATCTATGTAACTTATGTAACTTTCGTTTGATGATTTCCTAGATGTTGCTGGAATACTTTATAATATCGAACTCATGCTGTACCATCATCGTCATGAATAACAGAAATCTTATTTTGAAGGCTTTATCACATATTTTTAGTGTGATTAATCGTCGGTGATTGAGCTTTAGGGACATTTAGATTTACATTGTTTGAAATAGTAATCAGTGTGTTAGCTGTAGGGTGAATAATCATCTACAAATCTGTCGAGGATCCACCAGTTGCGTGACACCAGTATCCTTGTGTAGGCCGTAAGGCCTTGAAATAGGAAAAATGCATTTAATACATTTTGAAAATTAGTTCGAAATATAAATATGTTAATAAATAATAATTTGTATGTGTGGAGGAATATATAAATAAGGAAGGTTACTGAGGTTGCTGCCGACTCAATGCTACACACATCTGTATATAAGGAACGAACAGCCTTACCCAGTGGCTATTTCCTGATGTCCTTGTTCATGTCTTGTTGACCTCATCTACCCTTGTCAGGTATGAGGATTTCTTAGTAACGGAACAAGCGATCTTCATCAAAAGTTGTCTAAGTTGCTCATTGAAGGCATCTACCCAACTGTATCTCTAATTATTGTATTACGTTATAGACTTTTGCGGCAACCGTGATTTTTCTGAATTTCTCTAGCCAGATTACAGTTTCTGAGAACCTGACGAGTTCGGAGCGCTTGGCTATCTTTTGTTGCAACTATGTTTATTTTCCATGTCATACGATTTCGTGCAAGGTAATTAAAGTATGACTGTTATCTATTTTTTGAGTTCATGTCAACATTTTTCTTATGCTGCCATTATGGGACTACTTGAACTTAACAAACTAATTACTCAGTTTGGCAATCAGAAAAAGATTACTCAGTTTTGTTTTTCCTTACGAGTATAAAGGACTTACGGCATTTTCAAGCCAGAACTATTAAGCTCAAAAGCAGGATATAACTTTAAATTTCTTCTATTTAATTTCAACTGCAGCCTTAAGAGTGATGAGGACCCAATTGGATTGATTAGCCAACTCATTACTGAATAATATTTGAGATTTACTTTATTAAATTTTGACGCGTTTCGTTATGTATTAGTTTTTTTACCATACATTTTTGCACATGGTTTACTTTTACCACAATGTAGGGTGATTACAAATAAACTTAACAAACCACTCATACTGTGTTAATCATAATTTTAATTAGATATAGAGGAAATGCTCGGTAACACTATAACTTTTACTAAAACGCCAAATTCTTAGGCAAGTTGAACATGTGTGCGCTGACAGTTTTGAAAACGGTTTCTTTATCCATTTTGTTTTCACCTATTTTAGGCTTAACTTTAGAAGGAAAAATATTTTTATGGTGAATCATAAAAGATCATAGGCTTTAATAAATAAAAACGTTAGCTCTACACAACAGGAACAAAATTAAAGTTTACAACAAAAAATTAAGTCAACTCATTTTACTGCTAGATAACGTTTTTTCATAAAACTGTTGAGATTTTTTATTAACGTTAATACATCTATGTTGCCATCTTTAGTTACTTGTTCTATTTTCAAACTGTGTAATGTCTAGTTTGGTTTTTCAAAATTAGCAAATATAGTAGCATAATTGCAAACAGGTCATTGGAAGCTCTAGATAATTGAGCGAAGAAAAATATTACAAGACCACAAAATAGCGAAAACATAACAGAGCATCATTTTGAATCAGGATAATTAAACAATGGAAGTACACTGAGGAAATTGGTGAAGTAATGTTGGGAAATCGTTAAGACGGAGTAATATGATAACGCAGTAGCACAACAGTGCGACTTGAGTCAAACGTAGTTGGAATAGGGTGGTGAGTAGAGAATTAAAACTAGAAAACTGCAATAGAGCAACAAGGATAAGTGCAGCGGAGTAACGAAGAGAAAGGAAAAAAGTTAAAATAATAGTAGCAGCAACGAACTTGGGTTCGGGATAAATAGACTGTGAATTTGCTTTAGCTTAAATTGGGAAAAGTGACAGGGTATTGCACACTGTTTCTGTATACTCAGCATATATAGTGTATAACGAAAAATGAATGAAGAAGTTAATAAGTATTCATAAGTAAACGTGGGAGTACGCCGTAGACGCGTTCGCTGGTGAAACTGCGGAACGGAAATCCGGGTAGAAATCCATAAGCATTCTTTCATCCGGAAATAGTCTAATAATATAAGCGAAAATGGCAAAAGGCACAGTTCCCTACCAAAGTAAAATGTAGTTATATTCTATAAAGCTTTTTTTCAGCGTTTGATGTTTATTATTGAAAAAATAAAAATATTTTTATAAAATGGTGGTCCGATTTGCTTTGATGGTCTTTACCTACACATCTCACGAAATATTTACAGTAAACATAATCGCTGTTCCCGTGATAAGAGTTTTATTATTTGGAGGGACTTGCGAATGATTTAATTGGATGGCTTAATTGTTTCTATTGGATCTGACGTCTCTAAGACCGTTTATTGCAGTTCTCTATACTACTTGTTTAAGATTATCTAATATTTTACTTTTCAATTCGTCCATTTTTATGCTCGATGCACAAACTCGTGACCTGTTCGCAGAGTTTTTAAAGGCACGACTATACATTTATCAAAGGAAGGCCTTTTAATATCACTCGTGTCCATTTGTTTGCATATTATTACATAACAATAATATATGAATCTTACATAATTTATGAAAACAAGCAAATCTATTTTATATAAATGTTCCTATTGTACATCGATCTGGCAGTTCATGTTTTTATTTGTGATGCTTTGGCAAGCAATAGTGAACGTAACAACTTTGTTTGCAGGGAGAATGGCTCATTTAAAAGGACTATTTATTACATATTTCCCTACGCGTTCATTATGTATTATTATATTTTGTCTTTATAAAGAAGGTATTCTCTTGGTTTCTATCCCACAAATAGAAAAATAACAGATACTGTTGAGGCTAGCTTATTTGAAAATGACGTCAGACACAATTAGTGTGTTTCTGCGCTGTGTGATCATTATGGATATTTATATATAATAACAGTATTTAAGGAGGAACCAACACCGATCGGTCTTTTTATCAAATAAATTATTTATAAGTGTACATACATACGTAAAAACAATTTGCTGAATAATAATTAAAAATTAATTATAGTATTACTATGATCGTTTCGTTCCTAGCTACTTTAATAAACGCGATCAATAAATACTACAAATTTACTAGCTGCTCGAAGAATTCAACAGTAACTGAGTTAATGAATTTGCGCCAAACAAAACAAAATATTTTTTGCTTTAGTTATAGACCAAATTACTCTAAAGGACTATAAAAAAATTTCATTTCTTTCTCAC